GAACGGAAGCAAGAGCTATAGACAGAAGCTGGGAAAAAGATTGAGATCTTTTTCAGTATTCAGAAGCCTCCACATTAACTTGCTGGAACCCTTAGGAAGTAGGAAATTCAGGAATAATACAGACAATGGGAATAACTCAGGTGATGGTTATTTCTGAAAAAATTGGAATGTTGTATTAATTTTAATCTTTATCTTACTATCCTATATGAGTCCCCAGTATGTGTACTTTAGTGATTACATGATTAAATAATTTCTTGTTAGACTATCCTGTGATTCGGATTTGTATTCCAGCTCTAGGCTCTTTACATTAAATTGCTCTGTAGCCATCTTGTGGTTTGCTTGGAGCACTGCACTTTACATAAGATTTGTTTCTTTTTAATCCACTTAGAAAGCATTGTTTTATTAACAATTAGATTTTTATTAACAATTCATTAACAATTACAAAGAGGGAATTTAAAGAATGGAAGGCCTTCACTTGCAACCAGTCCAAATTTCTTAGCAGTTCCTATGAAAATATACAAGTTTCCAAAGTACAAAGAGAATGACAGTCCTTGTCCCACTTCTTGGATAACTTGAAAAAGAATTAACATGGCTACAAGTTAGGGAAAGAACAGTATATGACACCAAAGGAGCACACATGGTTCTCTTAGGGACCAAGAACAAAGGAATAAGATCTATATATCAAATCCATGACCATGCCTTTCACATGGTCCCTTTACAATAGAACACTACAGAAATATATCTTCTGGGGTAGAAGGCAACGCCCCAAGCAAGCTCAAAACTGATGTGTCATATATACATATCTGCAAGCCCCATAGAAAACTAATTGTGCTCAGCAAGTCTCACAGGTGCATCTTCAACTTTGTCATATTTTGTGTCCAAGTGGACACAAAATGGGTAAGGCAAATCTTTTGGATTGGATGTGGCAGGAATATGACCAAGTATATAAGATCTTGTAATAATTTCCAGTGAGTGAGGGACAAGGATGGACCCTTGCCTAGCATGGAAAGTCCAATCCAGAGAATGGCAGTAGACATTCTGGGACATACTCAACTCAAGACAACTTGTGGTAAACAGTAGATATTGATTCTTGTGTAATATGCCACTTGATGTTCTAATGCTCTAAGCTACGTTGAAGCTAAAGATATATGTCAGGCTGTAATAAATCTTTTTCCTGGGATTGGTTGACTATGGAGATCCTGATAGATATAGTGACTACTTTCTGGTCAGTCAGAAATTGTGAGTTAATCCTGAAGTGGAGCATCTTACATCAGTCATCTGCTATCAGCAAGCCATTGAAGTAGTGGAGACGTTCCATGGAATTGTGTTATGATTAAAACATTTATATAAGAATACTGCAAAAACTGCAAGTTTTCTAGTTTGGGGTTTCCTTCTTTTGAACGTGTGTAGGGTAGAGATGTCTGCTGGAACTCATCTGATATCACTGGATGGGAGAATAATGAGGTAAACATCTTTCTATGGCAACTACAGAACACCTGAGAAAGACAGAGTACTCAATACAATTAAGTACTTTGAAACTGAACAGAAAGTCTGATATAATTTTCACGCCAGAGCATACAACTTTGAGCCAGAAGATCAGATATTGGTCCTCAGACTAGTGTCCATCAACCAGACTCAAGTGGCCAGGAAGGGTCTTTATCTATTGAAGAAAAGATGGAACAATGACATGAATTTGTCAAGAACAAGGCTGAAACCTAGATTTTAGCATGTGAAAATATTCAGCCCTGCCACTCCAGGAAGTCAGTGTTGTTTAATATCACTGTAGACAATAAGGGTATTTCAAATTATCTCTATTTGGGAATTTTCTGGAGAGAAAAATTGTGTGGGATCCTCCCTGATACTAAAAGAAAAGGACAGTGCTTGGCTGTTACGTCGGACCTATGCTGACCTCTTCATAACATAACCAGAGCATTTTAATCTGTCCTGAACCCCAAGCTGGAGGCAGAAATATGCTTCTGTATGGATTATAGGAAACTAAATAAGAAAACAGTGATAAATTCAAGCTTTGCATGGTAGGCTGAACTATAACCTAAGCAATCATTTTAAAGAAAAGTGTAAAGTGAACATAGCCCTTTTAGCTCAGATTTTAGAAAAACCTGGAAAAATTGTCTAATTAAATATTATGGGTTTGTATTTTGTACTAGGATAACCAAAGTGTTCATTTTAAAATTCTTATCAAACTTGAGATGGTGTTATCTAAAATATTGTCTTTTTCCATCTCAGAGATTATGTGAACTTCCATCCACAAGACATTTTATTTAGTGGCTCTAAACTATCTGTCCATCTATATGCTATTAAAAGATAACATTTTTTATTTTTTTAAAAAATCATCAAATAATAATAATCATATGTAGTACCAGACAACAAGTGCTGCTTCTGTGAAGAAGCTTGAGAAACAGTGAATCATCTGGGAGTAGCTACTGCAAGAAGATTGCACAGACTGACGATGAACAATGGGATGATAAAGTAGCAACAATGGTACATTAGGAGATCTGCAAGAAATATCATTTGCATGCATGGGAGAACTGGTAGGACGATAAAATAGAGAAAACCATAGAAAGTTTAAAAAATGGGACTTTAAAATTCAAACAGACAGGCATCTGCCACATAACACTCTGGACTTAACAATTGTTGACAAGAGGGACAAAAAACTCTGGCTAATGGAAGAAGCAACACCCGGAGACAGCAGAATAGAAAGAACTGGAAAAGATAACAAACTGCAAAGACCTGCAAATAGAAATAGAATGACCATGACAAAAGAAAGCAAAGGTAGTACCAATCATAATAGGTGCCTTGAGTGCAATCCCAAACATCTGGAGCAACACTTGAACATCATCGGCATTGACAAATTCATCATCAGTCAATTGCAAAAGATAGTTTTATTCGGAACTGATTGCATTCTGCAACAATACCTCTAATACCATCAAACATCCATTTATTTGCCTATCCCAGTTCCTTGGGAAGGACTTCATTAGGGGATAAAATGCCAAATCTAGTATGAACATCTGGCTGACTGTGCAATGAAAACTAATAGGTATTCTTGCTGACATTTAAATATTCCCTTTCATTTTTTTCATATTTTCTAAAGTTCCCCTTGCTTAGATGAAAAGTATGATTTTTACTTGTATTCCTTAATTTTTTTCCTCTTTCTCTGATGTTATTAGTTGGATATGTTTGTTTATATGTAGTCAGCATAAGAATTTCTTCTCAGTGCATCAGATATTGGAGTTCTTTTTGTGTGTATACTCATGGTTCATTTGTGAAAGTGTCAGATGTTTAAAAAAGCTTGTGGTCATTGCCACAATTCAAAATGATAATATTTATATGCATACAGTATACGAACAGAAAACTAAGCATCCATATTCTCTTAGAATAAGTGAGATAGTACCACTGCCTGCTAGATCCACAATATGCCTATAGAAAATTGGCATTAAGGATCACTATTCCTATGTTCTTGTCTGCAGCAAGCCTTCAGATGAAGTATTTGGGCATGTGTTGGATTAGTTAAGGATTAGTGTGGATATTTTCTGTCCTGTTGGATTCCACGAGTACAGTTTTTTTTTAAAAAAAGAAGAAAAAAGAATAAAACCTATGCATTTCTTGCTGCTGCCAGCATCATTTTCATGTATTAACAAGTACATTCCACATTTTCCTCTGCAATTTATGTAGGATTGGTCTTTGTTGTTGTTGTCATTGTTGTTGTTGTTATTGTTGTTTTATTTTTGGATATGAAGAAATTAAGAGTGTGATAGACTGCAAAAATGCCCATTGGCAGAAAAGGATTTATTTCTTTTGAGCGTGCATGCGAAGGATTGTGCTCCTAATACCCATCCACTGATAAATGTAAAAACTACTACGTATTCCAGACTTGTTTTAATCATAGCTGAATATTATATCTGCTCTAGCATGACAGTAGTTAATGGTAACCAGATTCATTTATAACCGATGTTTGCAGATCCACTTCACATCTGCTTTCAAGCTATAGTGATGAGGTCAATTCTGAGATTAAGTATAGTCTACCATTATCTCTTGCTTAAACCTTTTTTCAAGTCAGAGTGCTTTGCTACTGTATCATTTCTTGTGGGGGATGTTTATATAAATGTGAAAAATAAAAATTAAGTAGTTGAAGGTAGATGAATTTTGATAGTAAGGATGTCAATGAGATTTAATTTCTTCAGTGGCACCATGACACTGTCAAATTTACCCCTAGCCATGAATTGTAACCATGCACCCTGTTTCTAGGCACATTTAACTACAAGAAACTATGATACTTAGAGCATGAGATTTTAAGGATAAATTCATGGAAACATCTGGGAGATGTCAGTCTACTCATAAGAAGTACTATGCTGTATTAGACCAATGCTTTGTATAGGAAAGCATTCTTCCTACAGGGGCCAGCCAACAAGTCCTGGAGGAAAAATAAAATACATTGGGAGAAAGAAAATGTAAACTACTTTTGGTTTGTTATTGGACATCTGGACTATCACCCATCAAATGACAGGTGAACATCGAATGAATCAAGATGTTGACTATAATGTATAGTATCTAATAGATTCAAAGGATTATCTGATGTGGTGACATATTTTAAACATGGCCATTCATTCCTATGCAATACAATGTAGTATTGTAGTATATACTAAACTATACTAATACTATACTATACAAAAATGTTTTTACGATTTTATAATCCCTTAATTCGGGGTAGAGTTGGGGGCCTTCTTGATTCCTACGTGGAATTTGTAGCAGATATTTTCTCTTCACACCTTGATAAAGCAAGGTCTACTGCCTAGGATTGAACTCTCAACCTTCCAAGTGGGAGGCAAGTATCTTCACCGCTAGGCTACTGTGCCTATTGTATTGTGTTGTGTTGTGTGTGTGTGTGTGTGTGTGTGTGTATATATATATATATATATATATATATATATATATATATATATTTGTGTGCATGTCAAGTCTAATGAAATTTTTGTCTTTTATAGGAAGACCCTTTTCCTACTTACACTATGTATAGCTGTGGGTTGTGTGCAAAGACAGCAAGAAGGTAAGAATCATTTCTTATAGAAACATTTCTTATAGAACATGAATTATTTATTAAGAGAAAGGCGTAGTTTTGATTTTGTTAGCATTACCTTGAAATGTTTTTGACTGACAATTTATCCAAATATCAGACAGAGTTGAAATTGATGCAGAAATTGAAAGAAACAAGTTTAGAAATGTTGATCTTTTTGAGATTACTCACTTTCTATGGAATTACATATTTAGGGAAAAATTGTAAAAAAGAAGTCTTGTATTATGTTGATTTTCCAAATGTGAGCATTTGGTGGAACATAATAAAAATTGAAGCTGTACTTTTGGAGACTTTCATGCTTATTAAACACTTATTCAGAATTTCATTTTTAAGGCCCATCAAAAGCAGTTCTATTTTTAAAAATTTACTTCCTTTAATTACATTTTAATGTGCTAAAGATAGTTGAAAAACATGTTTATGTTGTGTTACTGTTTGTATTTAGACTACTGAGAAATGGATAGATGCTTACTCTGGGAAGTTAAATTGGGAAGTAGCAATTATAGGCTCCATTATATCCATTTTATGACCTAAGTGTGTAGGCTCTTCCACTTCATTCCTCTTGCCAGTGTTCGAAAACTTCCAAGAGGGAATATTTATTTATTTTATTAATTTAAATAATGTATATGGTTGCCCTTCTCTTAACAGTGACTGTGGATAATATACAACAGTGACTTTTGGGGGAGTCTTGAAGCTACAACGTCTGATTTCTCTTTTGTGAAGTTCATGATATTAGGTTGCTCTTCACGGGAAACAAGATATGATATCTCAATATACACTGCTCAAAAAAAATAAAGGGAACACTTAAACAACACAATGTAACTCCAAGTCAATCACACTTCTGTGAAATCAAACTGTCCACTTAGGTAGCAACACTGATTGACAATCAATTTCACATGCTGTTGTGCAAATGGAATAGACAGCAGGTGGAAAGCATAGGCAGTTAGCAAGACATCCCCAATAAAGGAGTGGTTCTGCAGGTGGTGACCACAGACCACTTCTCAGTTCCTATGCTTTCTGGCTAATGGTTTGGTCACTTTTGAATGCTGGTGGTGCTTTCACTCTAGTGGTAGCATGAGACGGAGTCTACAACCCACACAAGTGGCTCAGGTAGTGCAGCTCACCCAGGATGGCACATCAATGCAAGCTGTGGCAAGAAGGTTTGCTGTGTCTGTCAGCGTAGTGTCCAGAGCATGGAAGTGCTACCAGGAGACAGGCCAGTACATCAGGAGACGTGGAGGAGGCCATAGGAGGGAAACAACCCAGCATCAGGACCACTACCTCCGCCTTTGTGCAAGGAGGGACAGGAGGAGCACTGCCAGAGCCCTGCAAAATGACCTCCAGCGGGCCACAAATGTGCATGTGGCTGCTCAAACGGTCAGAAACAGACTGGTATGAGGGCCCAGCGTCCACAGGTGGGGATTGTGCTTACAGCCCAACACTGTGCAGGACGTTTGGCATTTGCCAGAGAACACCAAAATTGGCAAATTCGCCACTGGTGCCCTGTGCTCTTCACAGATGAAAGCAGGTTCACACTGAGCACACGTGACACACATGACAGGGTCTGGAGACGCCGTGGGGAACGTTCTGCCTGCAACATCCTCCAGCATGACCGGTTTGACAGTGGGTCAGTAATCGTGTGGGGTGGCATTTCTTTAGGGGGCCTTACAGCCCTCCATGTGCTTGCCAGAGGTAGCCTGACTGCCATTAGGTACCTAGCTGAGATCCTCAGACCCCTTGTGAGACCATATGCTGGTGTGGTTGGCCCTGGGTTCCTCCTAATGCAAGACAATGCTAGACTCATGTGGCTGGAGTGTGTCAGCAGTTCCTGCAAGACGAAGGCATTGATGCTATGGACTGGCCCGCATGTTCCCCAGACCTGAATCCAATTGAGCACATCTGGGACATCATGTCTCGCTCCATACACCAGTGCCACGTTGCACCACAGACTGTCCAGGAGTTGGGGGATGCTTTAGTCCAGGTGTGGGAGGAGATCTCTCAGGAGACCATCCGCCACCTCATCAGGAGCATGCCCAGGAGTTGTAGGGAGGTCATACAGGCACGTGGAGGCCACACCCACTACTGAGCCTCATTTTGACCTGTTTTAAGGACATTACATCAAAGTTGGATCAGCCTGTAGTGTTTTTTTCCACTTTAATTTTGAGTGTAACTCCAAATCCAGACCTCCATGGGTTGCTAAATTTGATTTCCATTGCTAATTTTTATGTGCTAATTTTGTGTGCTAATTTTTGTTGTCAGCACATTCAACTATGTAATGAACAAAGTATTTAATAAGAATATTTCATTCATTCAGATCTAGGATGTCTTATTTTTGTGTTCCATTTATTTTTTTGAACAGTGTATTTTCATCCCAGTTATGGATAGAAACATTTACTTTAGGGGTTGAAAGGACTTTACTTTTCCAAGCCATTTCCTTCTTCAGAACTTAAGAAACAGAACAAATACTTCTCAGAGTTAGTTATAGAAAATTTAAGACTTGTAAAGAAATTTATGATATTCTAAAACAATTTGGATGTCAATTTACTTATAAGTAGAAATTCTTCTTGCATCATTTTTTATTATTTTGCAGAAGGTAATTTTTTGTTGTCATCAAATGAACAAATGTAAGTTTCATAGGTTTGTTATATTTATTTATTTAAAACATTTGTATATATCCATTCATGTAATATGTTTTTATTAATCTTGCTCTTTTCTCCAAGAAGCCTAAGGAAACGTTTATGTGGCATTTTCTTCTATCGTACTGTAGAAGAAGGGGTGGCAACACCTGGGGTGGAGTTAAAAGAGGGATCCGCCTCGATAGAATCTCTATATAGCCACAAGCAGACTAAGGCCAACCCCCTTTGAATTCCACTTGCTCTTATCTAACTCTAAGCAAGTGCTAATCACTAGTTGAGAAAATTCCTGTGTGCAGGCTGTTTAGCAGTAAATGAGTTTAATTGAACCTTCGTGTGTTGATTTGATCTTTTGTATCTGATATTTACTTCCCAATAATCCTACAACGTGAGTTAGGTTGAGAGAATAATAAATTCACATCATCTATTTTGTTTTGGCTGCGCATAATTTGATAGGTGCAAAATATAGTAAGTGAGCTTCGCTTTCAGGCCTACTGACTTTGCAGTTAACTGGATCCTCCTCTAAGGACTTTCTTCATAGTTGCATAGTTGCGCAGAAGACTTATCTGGCCTCCCAAAAGCTGTTTTTGGATTCGGGTATAAGCAATCAATTTGTTTAGTTAAGAAAAAAAGCTGGAGCAGTGTTGCTTACTTTATGCTTGTAGTGGAACTCTTGTTTAAGAAGCCTAAATGCTAAGCCCAAATATAGGTCTAGTTTAATCGTTTATTGGATCCTTTCTGATATATATTTACTCTTTGAGCATTAGATAAATATATGATAAATTCAAACAGCTATTGATTGTCCCAAAAGCTTTGAGATGAGACAGTCTAAAGACTTGTATTGTCTGACTTGTCTGTCAAAATCAGCTTCAGCTTCTTAGAACAAAAACTCACTTAAAATATAGAATAAAATAAATAATAGAATGTGGTATCTACAGGAGAAAAAAAGTTTGTTGGCTTTTTAACCATGCTTCCTTGGCAATGGTGTATCAGAGGGATGAAACACAGCACAGCTACCCTTATCCCCCACACTGTAAGAAAATGATTAATGAAATCTGCAAGCAAACAGGGAAGAAAGCATTAGTCTTATGAAGTTGAAACAAGTCATTTTCAAGATGACAAACCATAAATATTTGTTGCAAATCTCCTTTGAGTTTTTTTGTTCTTTTTAATGTACAGAGTAAATGAAGTCAGATGGCAGCATCTGTGCAGAGAAAAGAAAAAGAATAGATCCTTAATGGATTTATTTTTTAAAAAAAGCACCTGGACTGGATTATATGTTCTAAAAGCATCTATTTTTAAAGCATCTTCTAAGAGAATTATTATAGAGAGCTGGTTTGATGTAGTAGTTTAGGCACTAGACTAAAAACTGGGCGATCATGAATTCTGGTCCTGCCTTAGGCACAAAGCCAACTGTGTTACCTTGGGCCAGTCACTTTCTCTCAGCCTTAGGAAGTGGGTGAGAAATAAACCAGTTTTGAAATCTTGCCAATGAAACCACTGATACTTAGTCCAGCCAGTTGCCAGGAGTCAACATTGACTCAATAGCACAAAAACAAACAAACCAAACCAAAAACAAAATAAAAACAGTATTATATTTAGAGGGGGAATTTTGAGAAGGCATGAATGTGTGGTTATAACTTTTAGATTTTAGTATTTAGTATTTTAGTATTTATTTGATTTGTCAATCGCTTACAAGATACAAGGTATAAGAATAAATATAGTTTTGAATACATGAGATAGATACTTATAAGAAAAATAAAAAAACAATGTAAAAAAAAAGATGTAAATTCAAGTTGTGAAAGCTGGTTAAAAAGAATTTCTAAGATACCAAGCTTCCACAGAATTCTAATTCTACAGGTTAATTTATTTACTACTACTACTACTAAAAAAAACAAGACAACCTCCTTTTCTAACCCACATTCCATTTTTTTCAGAGCACTGAGTAAAATAAAGGGGAAAAGTGCTTATTTTTCCACTCAGAAATTCCCTATCTGGTGATTTTTCCTCAAAGTCTGAAAATCCTATGAGAGATACTTTTCTTTTTTGCATTCAATCATGTCCAATTTTCAAACATTATCTGGACAAGTCCCTGCAATTTGGCAAGGTTTTTCAGAAGCATTTTGCCATAGTTTCCTTCTTAAGGCAAAGGGAAAGTGACAAGCACAAGGTTACCCAGCAGCCTTTGTGCCTAAGACAGGGCTAGAATTTACATCTTCTGATTCTTGGCCTAATGGCTTAACATCAAATTGGCTTTCTATGAGAAATAGAGGCCCCACTGAAAAATAGGAAGCTAAAACATTATTGTGTTTGTTAGATTCTGGGCTTTATTTCTAATCTCTTTTTTCCCAATAAGGGATAAATGACACTTTGAGTTACAGAATGACTAGTTCTGTAAAATTTTCCCAAATTAAGGCTTAAATACATTTATTTTATGCCTAAACATCCAAAGGAATTGGAAAATATATAATGCCATCTCCCCATTCAAATGATATGTCTTTCAGTGCCTCTGAATACAGTATGCTGGCTCTGTCAATTGTAAAATATACCCCTAAGTATTATTTAACAGCCTCTTAATAACAAAGCATTTAACTAATTTCCTGAAGGGGTAATACATAATTATATATTCAGAGACAATTCCAAAAGTGTGAGGATTTTGTGTGACTATATATGTTTATGTCTGTTTACACACACATACTAGAAAAGTGGGGGGAAAAGGTGTCAGTACTTAACATTTTGCTAGTAATATTTTTGGTAAACAGAAGGAAATCAAATTCAGAAATTAGTCTGAATTTTTGGGAGAAGTCTGTGGAAATCCTTCCGTTTATTCAGTTTTGGCATTTGCTTCCACTTGTATTAATGCTGATGAATAATTGATTTTTCATCATTTTAGTCTAATATGCTAAAATGGTATGTTCTGAGGCTCCTGGCCTGAGCCCAAGATGTAATTTTGCAAATTACTTTTGAGGCTAAATTGTTGCTTGATCCTATGAATTATTGTTAAACTACCATAGCTCATATGATTGGATGTTAGGACTTAATGTGGTTTTAATAAGTAGCTTTGCATAATTTCTGGGATTTCTTCACAGCCACCCTATCCTACGTAAGTTTTAATCTATCAAAACAAACCAGGCATCAAAATTGAGTTCCACTCATTGGAACTGAATAATCCAGAATTTCTCAACCTTGGCAAGTTTATAATGGGCAGTCTCGGGAATTCTGGGAGTTGAAGTCCACCCATCTTAAACTTGGAAAGGTTTGGAAGTTTAGGGAACTTTTCCCCAAAAAGTTGTTTGGAGGGTACTTTAAAGTTAAGAATTAGTTGTTAAAGTTAAAAATGCAGGAGTTGATACCTGTGTTCCCCCCCCCCTTAAAAAAGTTCACCTTAAAGGTACTCCTTTTCTTTTTATCTTGATGGGGCTCTGTGATTAGAAAAAAAATCTGTGTGGTGAAAAGACTTCTTTTCACAGAAAAAGCAAAAGAAGAAAGAAAGAAAAAAAGATATGGATAAGAAAGCGTTCAACGTACTTTCCCTGGTCATCTTGTACTTTAAAAAATTGCTTACATTCTTTTAAGATTGTGTAATGTGTTCAGCTTCTGTTGTCATCCTATATATGAAAGGAGGGAGAAATCTGAGATTTTCGATGATGGGCACTTTCCTATCACATTATTTCCACTTCCTGATCGCTCCAAAACAGCTTGTCAAGCCAAGCTGTTTGATTTGACTGACGTCTGTACATAAAAGCAGAAGAAAAACAACAACCTGGAATGCAGGTTGTGATAAAGGGTTCCTACCAATGAGGGATAGAAATGGGATGATCAGAGAACTATCAATAGAGGAGCAGACTACCTGGAAAAAAAACTGTCGCTTTTCAAGGACAATTAAAAAAACAACAACATTATAATTATTTTGTATAGGCAATGATTTTGAACTTGAAAGCTGGTAATAGATCTACCGTCAGTACCAGCACAGCTGATATCATGAATAGGAACACGTTCAGAGCTGATTTTGATCTACCAGAATGATCCAGTCTGGTTATGCAAAAAAGCTGTAGTTTAGCAACATTCCTCTGCTATATGAGGCATGACAACATAGTGTATTTTTCCTTTGAATTAGGTGAGAGAAGAATCAGGACTCCCTTTGTTTCTATAATATACAATTCCTTTTGCTTTCCATTACTGTCTCGAATAAATTGAAATTTTACATTTGCTTAGTATAATTCTTTGGAGCGGAAGGGAAAATGTACATTTTCTTTTCTTTTGATAAGTATAGAATGTGTTCAATTTTTGAAATTAAGTAATTTGTATTTTATGTTTTTAATATATATCTATTTTAGTACTTGTGCATGTTATTCTTTTTATTTTTAAATGTAGATACATCACAGAGAAAAAGTAATTTGCTTGGCATTGGCTTCAATTTACATTTTGATAACTGAAAATAACAAAGTCTGAGTTTTATTATTTCACTTTGGAGAGATAGATGAATCTGTTTTTCTGGAAAAAGTCTTAAATTCGCTATTGATATAAAGAAAGATACATCAGTGCTGATTTTGTGATGAATCCTTATAACTTTAAACTATAGATTTTCTAAATCTACAGAAAATCTGTGGAAATGATCGACCTAAGTTATCCCATTTAAAAAATTAAAAATTAGAGAAAAAAATAAATGTAAAGCTTGTTTAGAAGAAAATTGAAAGGTTTGTTGCTTCTGCTGAAGTAAACTCTAATTTATAAAACCCTGTGGCTTAATATTGATTTATCTTTAAGGCTCTTCTTTTTGCTGTAGCCAGGCTTAACATAGCCTTCCTTCTGGCAATCATTAGGGGAATTATTATCCTCATCTAAAGGTCATAGTCATGGTCAGCCATCTGGAAATAACGTTATAATGGGACGCAAGGCCATGTAAGAGCCCATTATCTCATTTTCTAAAGTTATGTCATACATAACTGATGAGTGTTTATCCTAGTATCTGCACAATTTGTATGTCTTATGTTGGTGGGAATCAAGCATGTTGCAGACCTGCATGTGACAGATTTGCATTTTACCGAACAGTGCCACTTTCAGATGTCTAAGTGAAATTGGTGCAGCAATTTGCAAAAATTGCTATAAACTGCATGAGTGAATTTAAGCAAGCATCATTTTTCTTACCTCCTTTTCTTTCTTTTCCAGGCATAGATGTTCTCCGTCATTTAGGCCTAAGTGGGCAAACTATGCATCATCCAACAACAGGGCCTTTGATACGTCTGTCACATGCTTCATCACCTCAAGGGATTCACCTAACTGCATTTGGAGTTCTTTTATCCATTCAGACAGCCATTGAAGTTCCCATCTCTCAAGTGGGGGCATCAGCTTTAGGTTCCAATTTTGCCATACTAATTAGCTTACGTTCTTACAAAGTAAACAATGCCTTTCTTTTCAGTATTAGGAATAAAAACAGACTGCAGTTTGGTATACAGCTGCTACCAAGGAAGATAATTGTGCACACTGGAGGCAAGCACTCTGTATACTTTGATTATCGGGTTCATGATGAGCAATGGCACACATTTGCTATTGATGTTACAGAAAAATCAGTCTCCCTATATACCCAATGTGGAAGGAAACACTTCAGCAAGGAGATTCTTTCCAAAGTACAGTTTGATTCACATAGCTTATTTACCTTAGGAAGAATGAACTTCCAGTCAGTCAACTTTGAAGGTGTGTTATGTCAGTTGGATATTATCCCCTCTGCACAAACCTTGACAAACTATTGTAAATATGTGAAACTACAATGTCGCCAAGCTGATACATACTGGTTTCATACAATTTCTCCAAGCGAGGAAAACTCAAGCAAGCTGTTGGATGAAGTAACCCAACCATTAAGTAAAAGAAAAGGTACATTAAATCTTCACGTCAGTAAGTCAGCATTGGTCAAAGATCCTCAAGAATTGATGCAGACAACTTCTTCCTTGACTCCTCTTTACTTAGGGAATATTACTGCCTTGTCAGAACCAAATGACCAGCAAATTGTGAATGTCTCCAAAAAACACCAACATTATGTCAGCAAAAGGAAAGGGGATTCCTTGCCTCTCACAAAATTAACTTTAAATTATACAGACTCTATGACAGAAAATATGAAAAGAAAAATGAATTCCAGTTTGCTGTTTTCCATAAAGCAGCCTAATGCCAAACATATGATGAAAAATACATCAAAGCCATATTTATATGAACTAATGGATATGCATCCGTTTTTAAATACAACATTGCACGAAGATTTTCATTCCGAACCTTTAATTAACCAGTTTAGCTCATGGGATGAGCATACAGTTCAGACTGATGAGATTTATAATGCTGAAGGCAATTACGAATTTGATGCTGATTATTATGATTATGATTATGAAGAATGGGAGAGACTACTTGACATGGAAAATCTTAAGGGGCCTAAAGGAGATCCTGGACAGGTGGTAAGTGGCTTTCATTTATGGTATCTAATAAAATATACGAATTCTCAAGCCACATTACAGGGATTTACCAAGGTTATTATAATGCAGGAATTTCCTGTAATTTCAGTTTTCTATGCTAATGGTGGGAATATGAGAAATAACCTGGGCTTTTGGTCTTTTATAACAATGAATATTTTGTTGTAGATAGGTTTCCTGGAAATTCTAGAGAAATGTATGTTGCACAAAAAGCCAAACATAAGGACTGCTGTCCTCCAAATGTATTAGAGTTTGGGAGATAACAAGGCTAAGTAAAGCTGGACTAGATTGTTTTCCCATGAATTAAAAGCCATTGTTCAAGTAATAAAAGTTTCTGAATCCATTCTACCTCTGAGTGCTAGTTCTTATAGTGATGGTAAATATATGTTGTGAATATGGAATGGATTAGACCAGGGCAATATTCTTTACATGAAAACTAGATGGGAATTTTTCACCTTGTCTCCATGAATCCCCACCCAATATGTTTATAGATTCATATCTCTGTAGTCTTTAAAACTTCTTATGGGGCATGATATCTATAATAACATTTTCTTTGGGGATTGGGCATACCCGTTTCCTTATAAATACACACACCTTCTTAGAAAACTGATACTTTAAAAAAAATATCTGAAATGACTGAGCCTCATGTCTATGGAGATTCTTAGTCATCCAGGCCATGGTGGTCATCCAAGAGGCTGAAGAAATGAAATTCAAAAGCAAACTGGAAGAATGTAGCCCACTTGTAAGTGGTGCCAGAATTAAAACAACAAAATAGTTTCAGCCCAGATTTAGAGCATCTGATTATTGGATACCTGGGGAACTAATGCTGACAAATTAATCTTCTGAAACCTTGTAGACCTGTTCTATAGCAGCTTCCATGTAAATGCATACCATCACTAGCATGCTAAGAAGCTAGCATTTTTGTTCTTAGTTATTAAAGAAGAAACGGACAAGAAAGGGATAACTGCATTTTGGTAGCTAGCAGGCAGAGGCAAGACTTTTGTCATGCCCTGGAGGAATCTTCTTCTTTTAACTTTGCCTTCTGCAGGAGAAGGAAAGAGCCAAGAAAAATGCAGTTATTCTAACTATTGCTTTAACAGAAGAAATAAAAGAGAAATGAAAAACAAAAGGAAGAGTACAAAGGAATAAAGGAAGCTTCTAAAGCTGTGTACCTCAGGAGATTGTAAGTGATAGCAAAAACTGGATAATGGTCAAGAGTGACAGGAGTGTCAAACTCACGTCGTCACGGTGTCGTCACGTGACATATTGTGACTTCCTCCCCTTCACTAAACTGGACGTGGGCGTGGCCAGCGCATGACGCATTTGGCACGAGGGCTGTGAGTTTGACACCCCGGCAATAGAAACTAGGAGATCTGCATGGGCAGTGCAAAAATATTCTGCTAAGGGACAGAAAGAAGGGTAGTTTCTGAGCCATGGCAGTTATGTGACCACAGCTAATTTTGATTTAGTCCATAAAACAAAGTTAAGCAGATTATGGGTTAGCATGTTATATGGACACATATAGCCATAGTCATTGTTTGATTACCTAAATATATTTTGTTCCATAAACTAGTGATCTACTATTATTGTAATTGATCTAAGCTGCTTTCAACTACACTGCTCAAAAAAAATAAAGGGAACACTTAAATAACACAATGTAACTCCAAGTCAATCACACTTCTGTGAAATCAAACTATCCACTTAGGTAGCAACACTGATTAACAATCAATTCCACATGCTGTTGTGCAAATGGAATAGACAGCGGGTGGGAAGCATAGGCAGTTAGCAAGACATCCCCAAGAAAGGAGTGGTTTTGTATGTGGTGACCACAGACCACTTCTCAGTTCCTATGCTTTCTGGCTGATGATATGGTCACTTTTGAATGCTGGCAGTGCTTTCACTCTAGTGGTAGCATGAGATGGAGTCTACAACCCATACAAGTGGCTCAGGTAGTACAGCTCACCCAGGATGGCACATCAATGCAAGCTGTGGCAAGAACGTTTGCTGTGTCTGTCAGCGTAGTGTCCAGAGCATGGAGGCACTACCAGGAGACAGGCCAGTACATCAGGAGACGTGGAGGAGGCCGTAGGAGGGCAACAACCCATCATCAGGACCGCTGCCTCTGCCTTTGTGCAAGGAGGGACAGGAGGAGCACTGCCAGAGCCCTGCAAAATGACCTCCAGCGGGCCACAAATGTGCATGTGGCTGCTCAAACGGTCAGAAACAGACTCCACGAGGGCCCAACGTCCACAGGTGGGGATTGTGCTTACAGCCCAACACCGTGCAGGACGTTTGGCATTTGCCAGAGAACACCAAAATTGGCAAATTCGCCACTGGTGCCCTGTGCTCTTCATAGATGAAAGCAGGTTCAAACTGAGCACATGTGACAGACGTGACAGGGTCTGGAGATGCCATGGAGAACGTTCTGCTGCCTGCAACATCCTCCAGCATGACCAATTTGGCAGTGGGTGAGTAATGGTGTGGGGTGGCATTTCTTTAGGGGGCTGCAGAGCCCTCCATGTGCTTGCATGTGATTGGCCCTGGGTTCCTCCTAATGCAAGACAATGCTAGACCTCATGTGGCTGGAGTGTGTCAGCAGTTCCGTAAGACGAAGGCATTGATGCTATGGACTGACCCGCCCATTCCCCAGATCTGAATCCAATTGAACACACCTGGGACATCATGTCTCGCTCCATCCACCAATGCCACGTTGCACCACAGACTGTCCAGGAATTGGGGGATGCTTTAGTCCAGGTGTGGGAGGAGATCCCTCAGGAGATCATCCGCCATCTCATCAGGAGCATGCCCAGGCATTGTAGGGAGGTCATACAGGCACGTGGAGGCCACACCCACTACTGAGCCTCATTTTGACTTGTTTTAAGGACATTACATCAAAGTTGGATCAGCCTATAGTGTTTTTTTCCACTTTAATTTTGAGTGTAACTCCAAATCCAGACCTCCATGGGTTGCTAAATTTGATTTCCATTGATAATTTTTGTGTGATTTTGTTGTTAGCACATTCAACTATGTAATGAACAAAGCATTTAATAAGAATATTTCATTCATTCAGATCTCGGATGTCTTATTTTTGTGTTCCATTTATTTTTTTGAGCAGTGCATATTCTTTTCATTAGGTTTGTTATTTTATATGGCTTTTAATTCTGTGTATTGTTAAGTTGTAAGTCTCTTTGGTGCCCTAAGATTCTGTGACTGGTTTTACATACAATGCCAAACTGTGGGGATTTTTTTAACCATATATAATTGAATAAACCACAGTAACTTAATTCATATGATATAGTAAGCTATACATTATAGTTCAGAAACTACAATGGCTAATTCACCCAACCAAAATCCAAACAATTTGATAAATGTCTTTTCAAACAATTTACATTATGCATGTCAAAATTTTCAACTTTCAATTTCCAAACATTAGGGGTGTTCAAAGTTATGACGTGCCTTGGGGATGGTAACGATATTTTGGTTACTTTAGTATAATTTAGATGTTCTTGGTAAGTAACTATATAAATATCATAACTTTTAAACATTGTTTCATATGAGCTTTTACGTTGTATTCCTTTTCCATTCTGTACAAATGAAACTTCAGAATCTTTATCTTTATCAGAGTAGTCATGAGGGATGCTTCATGTATATGTATATGTGTGTGTATATATATATATATATATATATATATATATATATGTATATGTATATGTATATGTATATATATGTATATGTGTGTGTGATGCACACATGTGAGGAACAGAACCTTTCAATATGCAAATTCAGCTCACATATTTTATGTAATGGAATTCCTTCAGTGGTTTCTAGTATGTGTGCGGTTTTAATTGTCTGAAATTGCTTTTCAGCTTCATTTTTCAGAAGTATCACATTGTTGGCAACCATAAGGTGTTTTAAAGTAAAGTTGCATCAATAGTAGACCAAAAAAAATATGGTGGAATATTTAACATGTGCATCAATCATTATGAATATTAACTGTTAGTGCAAAACTAGAAACTAAAACATCTCTATATTAGAATGTTATATTCCAAAAAAATGATTTTTTATCCCTGAAAAATTATGAAGGGAACACAATCCTTACATTGGTATAAAGGCCTAAAATATATCCACTGGTTATGGGAATGTATGATGCTAGATGTATCTGGACAATAAATTTTAAGCATTTATAAAGCTCTTTTCATGGTATGTTTTGTATAATATATATGCCAGGCACTCTGCATGGTTTCCCTCCATGATCAGGTGCCAAACAATTCCTTGCTTATTTGGGAGTTAAATCAACCACAAAATGAGTTTCAGTTGTTTATTTTAACATTCCTGCTGTCAGAATTCTGGCTTAGCCTGGTATATGAACATGGCTAATGCCTACTCTCTGCTTATTCTTAGAGTTAATAGACAAGAGTGGCAAAATTTACAAGCCTGATTAGGCACTATGAACAGTTAACATGCTCATTTGATGCCGTTTTCACTTCTGTTCCATATATTCAAGTGACACAGAGTTATCTTGTTTCCAAGTCTAGAATAGCTGCTAATTTTAAAGTCCCTAAAGACAGAAAGGCTGGGAAGAATTTTTTTCTATTTATATATATTTATGAAACTATCAATCCTCTACCAAATGAATGACATGCATTTAATTGGTACTCTTTTTGTGTGTGTGTAGGTATAGAATTTTGTGTGGTGCTTTATTTCTTGCAGTCAAGTAAAACAAAACAAAACTGCACTACACTTAAAAGAACCAACCAACAAAAAAGCAAACAAATAAATGGAGAAGCCAGAAATTTTCCTAAGATTTATAGAATCAGTTATAATAGTTCATGATTGCTGATCTCCCATCTTCATAAAAATATTTGTAGACAACACCATTTCAGAAAGAAGGATAGTTCAGTAGAGAAAATGATTGCATTCCTGTATCTCTTACAGTAAGGTTATAACAACTTATATTAATTGATCAGCTTAGTAATGACTGAAATATGACTGTGTTAAAAAATTCGACATGGCTATTTTCAAGGCAGATATACAGGGGTGGGATTTAACCAGATGTTAAATTTACATCTGATTCACCAAACCGATAGTTGAACCGACCGGCTGGCCCTGCCCACCCCATCCCACCCCTCCCAGGAGGCTCCATGCTGCGCCTTTCGAATGCAGGTAAGTGCAGGGTCCACATGGAGGCTCTGGGAGGATGAAAAATGGCCCTCCCAGAAGGTCTGGTAGGCCACGCCCACAATGGCCATGCCTACCCAGCAACCCGGCAGAGAACCAGTTGTTGGGATTTTTGAATCGCACTCCTGCATATGCATCTCTGAATGTATCACAGCTTTTCCAGTGAAGGCAGCATGTTAGAAATACTGCCATTGTTGAAGGTATTGAGGGATCTCATAAGGAAATATCACTGAAAAGATGAGTCGTGCCTTATCTAGTATATTTTTTAAAATATAGTTATTTTAGATAGGCTTCTGCAGGATTGAAGCTATGCAGCTGTAATATAATTTAATTAGGGCAATCACGGGAACCCTGACAACAGCAGCTAATTATACTTTTCATTCCTTTCTGCTTTGCCTTTATTACATCAGGTCACAATGAAAATGATTTTTGTATTACAAAAATCAAATGAAAGACTGTATTTGGCACAAATTCAGGAATTGTGGTGATAGGCTTTAGAAATTCGGATTGGCCTTCAGTTCTAAAAAAATATTGAGCTCCATAAACAAATTAATTACTTTCTCTCAACAAAATTGATTGAGTGTAAAATGTTCCCTGATACACCAAAAGGGTATTAAAATAACAATACTTCATTGGATATTCTTGACAGCAGATTTTATAGAATTCTTGCAGGCGTTTTTTTCTAGAGATGTAGTTTGGACAACCATCCCTAAATACTTTTCGATCTTAGCTTGCTCAGTTGGTATCCTGCCTTTGCCAGCTGTTTCAATGATCTTTTGACTAAAACCTTACTTTTTGCGAACTGATGGCATTCTTTACAATAGATGGTTAGTGTTTTCAGGCTTCTTGTTATTTCTGTAGATATTCTGGAAATGATTAGACAGTTTGTACATTTGATTAGTTCTCTGTATCTATGGGGATTTAAAGGCATGTTTAATTTTGTTAGTGTATATTTCAATAAGAATATATATAAAATTAAGAAATGGTCTAAAGTTGCCCAACCCATCCTAAGACTTGCATGTTTATCTAGCAAGTTATCTTGGCTTAACCAATCAAGCAGCCATAAATATAAATGGCTGTCATAAAGGTGACAGGTTTGCAGTTTAGAATCATAGAATAACAGAGTTAGAAGGGACCTTGGAGGTCATCTAGTCCAACCCCCTGCTCAAGCAGGAGAGTCTATTCCAAATATTAGCCTCTGCCTAGGATAGATGCAAGGTTGATGGCTTATCAATTCATTTATCTTTCCTCATTTTCAGACCTTGATAATTTAGTTACAATCTAAACCAGGTTGTAGTGGTCATCAACTGAAGTTTCCTGCTTAAACTGCTATTGTATATTAATCAAGTATTGTGTCTCACTAGAAGTTACTGTCTGAGCCACCTAACCACTGTTGCTGTTCTTCTAAGGCATATGCTAGTCATCGTGGTGTTTAGTATAAGCATTTTTTTCAATTTCAAAAATCCTATGCACTTAGTCAACCTATTGTAGGTAGGGAACTAAACTAATGAATAATTTCAATTTCTGAAATACAGAATTTAAGATTGTCATTTCTATGCCAGATTTTTGTGTTCATCGTTTTGTTATGTTTCATTTCCCCTTTAGGGACCCCCAGGTCCTCCAGGATCACCTGGCCCAGCAGGAAAGCGAGGCCCAAGAGTGAGTAGATATCTCTTTCCAGAAGTACACCTTTTCACAATCAAGTAGACCACTTGTTTCTGAACTGTCTTAGTATATTTTAAAAACATAATGTTTTTAATTGATTTTCTCTAGGAAATTAGCAGTGCATTTTGTTTTACACTGCAACTAACTGCAACTAACTGAATGTAAACTTTGAACTTATGTGATAACAAAAAATATATCAGAAGCCCAGTGTCCAATTTTATTTCCTTTTTGGAGTGAGGTACAATGGACTTCCCAGAATTTTACATCCTGAAGGTAGAAAGCAAAAAACAGTAAAGAAACTAGTGCGGGTTTTCACTGCTAATATCTCTTCAGCAATGTTGAGCTTCAGGGTTTAGCGACTGTGGTTTAAAGAACATATTTCCTTTAGTTGCTGGCAAAACGTTAAGAAGTGTTTTCTAGGCCACTGGTCACCAACCAGTGGGCCGGGGACCACTGGTGGTCTGCGAGAAAATTTTGGTGGTCCGCAGAGAAATGTCCCCCCCAAACAATTAATCCAGGCTGCGCGGGAACACAAGGCTGCGCCGCCCACATGGCCCACCCACCCTCTAGCCCCAACCCTTCAGCCGAGCGCAAACCTTACCTTGAGTAGAGCCACGTGAGCTGGAACCGGAAGGTCAGATCAACGGCGGGGAGGGAAATCCATCCCAGGGTGGCTTGCTCACGTTGGTGGGAAAGTCGGTCTCATATTTCAGAGCTGCAGTAATCACAAGACTGGCCCTTTGGTCATTCTGGAGCAACTCCTTCATGGCAGGCTGCTGCACCCAGATGGAGGAGCAGCTGCTCTGGGATAACCAAAGGGCCGGTCCTGTGACTACTGTAGCTCTGGAATATGGGACCAACTTTCCCATCAATGTCAGCAAGTGATCATCAGTCAAAATTCATATTAGTGGTCCACGGGACTTAAAATTATGAGTTTGGTGGTCCCTGAGGTCCAAAAGGTTGGCGACCGCTATTCTAGGCCATGGCCATTAAACTGTTAGGCACAACACTACCAACAGTGAAGAAACTGTTAAAGTTGCAATCCTATAATGCCTCTTTACTCTTTTGGTGTTGAAACAATGTGACTGACTACAATTTCTATCTCTTTGGGTAAAGCAATGAATTGTATTCAGGAGTGTAACAATGCACATGTATTTTTCAAAACTTAACAAACTTCCTATAACAAAAATTCTGAAATTCAGAATTTTCCTGTTGGTTATTATATATTTTATTGTTCTCCCATGTTGGATTTTTTGGGGGTGTCTGCAAGATATATGTTAATAATATTTACATAATAATATGGAAGCTTATTTTAGCTTTTTTCTGTTAAACATTGGTTGAGGCATTAAGAAAGGAATTTATGGCATGTTATGATGAACAAAAGCTAACTCATCAAAAACATGTTAGCCTGGCTTATATTAAAGTTAACTGAACTGATGCACATTCCATGTGTGTTGGCAGCCAGCATACAAAAATCCTCTTGTCAGATGACTGAAAATTTGGCATGTCTTTTTACCAATTGGAGAAAGAGAAATTTCTACAGTGTCTGTTTATTATTCCTCACCCACTCTGTAAGACTAATTATCATCGGCTAAATTGTCAAGTGACAAACAGTATAGTTAAGGAAAATGTTTGAACCCACCCATTATGGCCTTGTGTGATATGTCAGCAAGTCCACTAAGGCTCAATTGGCAATAATGATTTTATAATCCTTAATGTTATATATGAATTGAAATGCTAACAGAAATGGCAGGGCTATATTGTTATTCAAAATCACAAAAAGAAGGGCATTATACCAAATTCTTTTGAATTCAAAACTCATTCCTGATAAGTAACTTATGCATGAAACATATTTTTGTAAAAGAAGGTTTTCTGCATTGGCTTTGGTCACCAAATGCACTTGGAATTGATTATGTATCATTTTCATTAGTTAGCCATACATAAAGAAATACAAGTAGTCCTCAAATTACAACAGTTCATTTAGTGACCCTTTGAAGTTACTAAACAAAGTGACTTACAACCATTTTTCACTCTTACGATGGTTGCAGCATCCCCATGATCAAAATTCAAAATTCGCTTGGAACTGACTCATATTTATGACCGTTCCAGTGTCCTGGGACCATGTGATCACCTTTTGTGACCTTCTGACAAGCAAAATCAATAGAGAACCCAGATTCATTTAACAACCATGTTACTTACTTAACAACTGCAGTGATTCACTTAGCAACTGTGGCAAGAAAGGTCTTAAAATGGAGCAAAAGTTGTTTTAACTGCAGTGATTCACTTAACTGTTTCACTTAGCAACAGTAATTTTGGACTCAGTTATTGTTGTAAGTTGAGGACTGTATGTATGCTTTTAAACATTATCTGAAAATGTCTTCAATATTCTGAAAAATATGATTCAGGCATTCCATCCTATCACTTTTCATAAATAAATAAATATATAAGGACAAAAAGTAAAGTACACCCTGGTAGCTTACTTCCTACTTCAATCATGAATCTCCATTCTAGTAGGAGCTACAATACTTGCCTCCTCCATGTTTTAGGGTCCTTCAGAATGGTATAACAATCCACATACCCTTAAGTTTTCAGAGTAGAGAGACATTGCTGACATACATTATGTCATGTATGAGGTTTTTACATGTTTTCCACCCCCTCTTCTGGAAAAGAGAACGGAAATATCTATTTTTACACAGTGTATATCCGATGTGGTCAATATAACTAAAAACACCTATGTTTTAGCTGAGGAAAATATGTGATGAATATGTTGTTTAGTCTTTCTTTGTCAAATGGCATCCTGTGACTCATTATGCCAACAGGATGCTTTCAAGATTCTCACAAACACAGAGAAGGGCAGTGTGTTCTTTTCCTGCTCTGTTGCTGGGTATGATTTCAAACTTAGCCATACAAGCCTTTGAGACCCTGATCCTCCAAGGGTTTCTCCAATTTCCTTTTAATGTATCAAAATTGGTGGCTAACAACAGATGTGGTGAGGAAAGGAATATTCTACTGTATGGCTGTAGTTCTTCATCATTTAGTAGAAATGCTGCATATGTTTGTATATTTGAAATTAAGCATTATTTTATATACCTGTATGAGTTCTTCCTTAACTTTGTTCCATGATAATTTCTTGTCTGGAACCTAATTTAGTGCTATAATCATTTTGATTGCATTACATGCAGTTTTTCTATCAATATACTTTCTGAGCGGGAGAATTAGAACTCTACACATAATTCCAAGCATGCAGTCACAAAAATAGTTTTGTATGAAAGTCTTATTGTATTGAGTATTTTATTTTCAGTTTACTATAAAATGATTTCAAGTAGAAAGATTGCTTTTTTACATTGGCAACATTTGGTTGAAAGTTTCTTTTTCACCATAATTCCAGAGTCACCTTCCTTAGCAGTTTCAGCTTAGCTCAAATCCCACTATCAAATTTCCTAAATGTTAATCTTCTCTAGAGCTCTCCAGATATTTTAGATTAGAACTCTGACGCTAGCAAGATTGACTGAGTATTGCAGAAATGATAATCTAACAATACATCATCAAAAAAAGATCCTTGTTGTCAAAGCTGGAATTGTCAGGTCATCTCCTACAGTACTGGACAAAACAGAAACTAGTTCTACAGCTCAATATTTGGAAAAGTAGAACGCTCAAATTTATTTTAGGAAAATGATTTATCATGTTAATTGATAGAGTGGGATTTTACTGTTTGCTTCTTTGTAGCCTTGCTACTTGATTACTCAGATGTTCCATTTATTCTGTTAGTAAAGATATTCTTTCATTGAATTAAAGTTTGTTTACTCAGTTTTCTTTGTATTTTTTTAAATTTTTGTACCAGATTTTTTCTTTGTGTTATAAAGACTCAATTTGATTGCTGCAGCACAGAAATATCTTAAAATGAGTATTTGAAATGCTAAATGACTTATTCTCTGTATTAATTGATGCAACCTTCAGTTTGTAGGGTGACAATTGTCAGCTAGTTAGTGTGAATTTGTCGGGCCTTTAGAGATGTTCAAATCAATAAACAGTCTCAAAACAGAAAAAAAAACCTAGAACTACAGCTATTCTTCTGTTAATAACCATTCATTCAGTTTTTGTTCAGAGTTATTGCAGCAATGAATGGATGGTAGCTGTGCCCGGTCCCTGAAGTTATGGCCGCTGCAGTAACATGATCAAAATTCAGGCACTTGACAGCTGTCCTGTACTTAAGACTATAGGGTTGCTTCAACTCCCCCTCCCCCAGTCTTTCTGTCCCCCCTCCATGTCTCCCCCTTTGACAGCCTTGCACTCTGTCACTTATTCTGGTCCTGCTGTCCTGCTAGCTTTGCCACTCTGTACTCTACTGAATCTTCTGTGTATGCTCTGTTGGCCCTTTTGCTCTATCAGTTTGACCACATCCAGCTGACCTTCCCTATCTTCTTCCTCATGATGCTGATGAGTTGCACGTAATCTGGCTCCTTGCAGCTCTGAAAGCTGCTATCCATACCAGACCTTCTTTCCAAAGCCATGTATGTGCCTCTGTCCAAATTGCATGTGCCCTTGTTCAAATCATGTATGCCTCCTCGCAAGGTTATGAAGCCTTCCAAAACTTTGTGACAATGCTGCATTCTGATTTGGACAAGGCTACACACAGCCTTGGAAAGAAGACCTGGATTGACCAGAAGCTGCCTTGCAAGGGCCAAGACCAGCACTTAGTCAGCAGGAGGAAGGTGAAGATTAGTTGAGGAGTGGCAGAGGGATCGAAGCACAGAGCAGCCAAAAAGACAGCGATGGGGAGGAGATAGGTGAGTAGGGGCAGTTGAAGGGGAGGCAGTCCCTTATCTTATGGAGGTTTGGGGCTGGGAGAAACCAAGCTGGGAGTGGCTTGGATTGGGGTCAGTTCTTACCTAGCGACTTGGTGGGATTCACTTCATGACAGAAACTGAGACTGCCAGGAAGAAGCCTCTCTTGAATCTATTCTTAATACATTCCCTGTTTTTTGGTGCTTAAAGCATATTTTGGACCAAGTTTAGTTGTAATGGTTTCTGAATAATTTCTTTAGACCAACGTTCATGACATCCAACATAAATAGGTTAATAATCCCTAAGAAATTTCCTTGCACAAACGAAGTTCTATCCTTACTGTTCTTTTTAATTATGTGTTTTATATTTTCCATAGGGTATTCCAGGTCCACATGGAAATCCTGGGCTACCAGGTTTGCCTGGTTCAAAGGTATGCTACACATGAATATTATAATGTTGATGATTTTTCACTTAGCAACCATGTCCGTTTGCTTAACAACCAAAGGGGAAATAAATATAGTATGCCCATCATGGCCACATGATTTTCACTTAACAACTTCATTGCTTAGGAACTAAATTACGCATCCCAGTTTTGGTTTGCTAAGTGAGGACTATCTCTAAAAGCAAAACGATTATTTAAAATGTGGTTTTTGCTTTAAAAGGCAAGGGTTAACAAAGCAGCCATTTTTAATTTTATTTTCATACACGCATTATTCAAAGAAAATATTTACATACTGAAATAATGGTCTTGCTTCAGCATTCCTCTTTTATTTGTTTAGCAACTTCCTAAGCTTTGTTACCTGAAGGATAAAAATATTGTAATGTTTTGTTAGAGTCAAATCTAGTAGGCAGTTTAAAACGGAGCTCCTGTAGCAGAAAATACAGTATTTAGAAAGACAGCTGTATGGAATTCTGGAAAACCTTCAACTCAGATTTAGTTAGAGCTCTTTGATAAATGAGTTACAAGAAAAAAACAACTACAGCCATTTGTTCTAATACAGTTCCTTAGGATGGGAATCTGACCTGCACTGACAGATGTTAAAAACTGTTCCTGGTCATTAAAATATATTAGACAAGCTTTGCACAGGTTAATGTAAAACAAAGACCGTGTAATTTTTGAGTGTACTATAAGTATCTAGCACAGCAAATGGAGAATATTTTGGCATATGAATCTGGGATAGTGATGTTTGGGTTAATTTGGAAATTTAGGTTTTGGGGTTTTTTTTACACATTATCCTGAAAGTTGAAAAACATGATTGATTCAAGGAGGAGGAGGAGAATACTGCAGCAACACATTAAAGTGTAGTGAATACAGTTTTGACAAGGAATGATTCCTTGTTCCTACACTTGCTGCTTCTTAATTTTCTCCTGTTCAATGTAAGGAAGTGAAAATATAATAATGATGGACAGTGAGGAATTAATAGGCCGGAGAAGTGGCAATTCTTCAGTTGGAGCCAGAGAAGAATTTAAGGGTTAGTAGAACTTCCATCACTTTCAAGACAGGTTTAATCCTTTCCAAGTTAAGCTCAGTAGAACTTCATCAGCTTCTCTAATGAGCATGAACAGTTGTTTTTACCAAGATTATGTCAGCATATATCAGTAGTCACCAACAAGTTTGAGCAGGCTGCCAAAAGGAAATTTATTTTGTTAATCCCAAGCTTAAATGTTCTGTGGGTTCTCAGTACACCTAACACTTAATCTCTTGTTTTTGATAGGATCCGCTCTCTACTTGTAAAAAAGAAATAAAAAAAAATCCTTCAAGTTTTTTTAATAGTAATTAGAAGAAACAGATAGGATTGAAAAATGGGTTCATATTGATACATGGGTTAATATTGTATCATTTAAATCATCAAGAAAAGGGAAATGAAGAAATGCCCATTACACGTTACAGATCCTGAACAAAATTAGCGTGGTAAAATTTTGAAATAATTCAGTAATTGATAGTATAAACATGATGACTTCATTTTGTTATATATTTTAAAAATGGTTTAAGAGACAAAAGATACTTTATTAATATAGCTAGATCCTTTTCCAGATTTATAAACTGCTGCTTTGGGTTTAAATAATACATTTGTATGTAAGAATCTTTTAGAAGCTGATATTGAAGGAGTTATTATATAAATCATGTACTTGTTCCATTTTTCTACTCAAAATGATTCAAGTACATGATTCCTATCATTTGTACAAAGACATCATGACATAGTGGACATGATGCCACTTAGACCGTCTGTACCCCTAGCCTTCACAGATGCTCTTGCACACATAGTGACATTTCTTGAACCAAAAGTGATTCAGTTCCTTTGAGTGGATATTCCCAATTTAGGAAAATCAGTTTACAACCCTAACAACTCAGCCCAAGGGTTTCAAAAAGAACATGGTTTCCAAATAGGCTTAAGACAGGGATCAGCAATATATTACCCACACATGTGAGAATTAATCAAACATAAGATACCATTTGCTTTCCTCTCAAACTAAATATGAGAATTTAACATCTATGAAATTTTTGGAAGCTCTCAGAAAAGAACCTTGAAGTCAAGTAAGATGTGGGCTTGTTTATTACAAGCTTTCTCACTTGAGGTTGGGGGAGAAAAATTTGAAACTTTCCCATTTTATTTTGGGAGGTTAAAAAGGTAATTACTTTGCCATTGCTCCAGAAGTTTGCTAACATTGGCTTAAGTTAGGCTAAAGCTAAATAGATGCAGAAAAGAAAATTAGGAGAAAATTTAAGGAAAAGAAATAATAGGAAAAACCAATATTAGCATAAAACTAAGAGGAAGGTAAAGGAACATAAGAAAGGAAAATATTATGAATTATTGGGGATATTTTTGGATACAGCTTTACTGCTTGAAAATTGAGGAGATTGAAGAATAGGGGTGTCTTTTTATTGGAATAAGATGGTGGTAATTTGATTTGACCTTTTAGAATTGTATTTTAAACAACCAGAGAAGTATTAAATATTTCTAAAATATAGCTACTAGAATGCTAAAACTATGTTTTTCTCTTTCTAGATACAAGTCATCTATACATCTATATTAGAACAGCCAATGTTGTAAATTGTGTGTAAAAATAATACCTCCAGGATATAATGGAAATTATTTGCTTGATTAAAGTTTTATTTTATATATTTCATTGAATCTATATAGCCTTCTCCTAAATAATGTACTCTCTTTTAAGTGATTTTAGTAATAATACCAGTGCCTCGTATATTAATTTGATTTTGTTATCCCAGGGCCACAAAGGTGATCCAGGGTTTTCCCCAGGAAAAGCAAAGCGTGGAGAAAAAGTAAATGATTTATGATCTAGAACTATCTAATAGAAATACTGCTTATATTCTTATTTATACTGTATGATTTATGTCCAATTTAAAATTATAGGAGGATTATGTAGATAAATGAAATTGTGGTTTGGAGAGTTACAAAGATTTTCTTCTTAAAGCATGGGCATTAACAGAAATTCCTTGCTTTCGTCAAAATGACCAAAGCAGTGTCATACTGCAAGCTACACCTTTTTGGTGGGGCGGGGTGACTGACAACGTAGAAACAAAAGGGAAAAGAAAATGATGGGTTTGCCTAATTGTTAAAAATATGGTTCTCAAAATGCTACATTGGTCCATATAATGTGCTCTTTGTAATGTTGTTGACTTTCTTTTGGATACAATATATTTCACTGATTAATTTTGTTTGGAAAGACCTCTTTGGTACATCTGCAGGTTTTTCAAAATTTATATTACTAATTTTAAAAACTTAGAGAAAGATGGTAGAAATGAATACTGCATGTTTTATACTTGCAAAAAGTTTGGAGCTATTCTACTATTAAGTAACAATCCTGTCTATTTATTGAAGATTGATATACACCAGGGCAGTCAAGCTGTAATCTAATTGGAATCACCTTGCAAGTTTATTGTTGCAAGATTCATAACCCAGAGCTTGATGCAAAAGACTAATTGAATTCAGATTAACTCCTGATGATTTCATGGACATGTCTATGTAGCTATGTTGTAAATAATGTGGAGTTCACATCATTTCCTTCAATATTTTTTCAGTGTGCTGTCATTGTATTACCATCAAAATCAGACATGATGCTATTCAATTTTTTAAAATAATCATCCATGTTAAACGTACATCAGAAATTCAGCAAGAACCTATTTTGATTTAAATGTTTCTGCTTCCTGGACTCCATTCTTAATATCAGCACTTAGCAGTGTTCATAGTTCTTCCACAAAAATTCACTCCAGATTATTCTTTATTTCAGAAATATAATTTAAGAAGAGCAAGGCATGATAATGTTCCTGCTGTACTACCAAGAATCAGGAATCCTTGCTAGTTCTCTGCTGTTCACACAAAGATCTGCAGGAGATTCTCTGAATCTCTGGCTTAAAGTCACTGAAATCTTTTAATGGTAGAAGCAATACCATGATGATGGGTCATATTACAGTAGTTTGAGGGCTGTGGGGAACATAGTCTTTCCAGAGTACATGGTCTTCTTTGATCTGGTATCATGCTACATTAACGTTCTACTAAATTTATAGGGTGATGCAGGACTAACAGGATTACCTGGCATAGAGGGCCTCAAAGGTAGAAAGGTAAGATTCTTTTTTTTTTTTTTGGTATGTGTATTTGTAGGCCATTATTAGGGTTTATAATTACAATTAATTTAATAGCAATCGCACTTAAACTTACATACTGCTTTATAGTGCTTTACAGCCCTGTCTAAGCAGTTTAAAGAATCAGCATATTGCCCCCCAACAATTTGGGTCCTCATTTTACCCACCTTGGAAGGATGGAAGTCTGAGTTAACCTTGAGCCTGGTGAGATTTGAACTGCCAAATTGCTGGCTGCAGCAGAAGTAGCTTGCAGTACTGCACTCTAACCACTGCGCCACTGAGGCTAAATATATATTTAATATATATTTAATGCTCATATGTAAAAGGTATTTCTTACAGATTTCAGAATCTGAGGTTGCAGTTTGTCATCAGAGCCACTCCTGATACTGAAAATGTAGGAAACCAAGTTTTCAATAAGCTATAAGACTCCAATACCGTAAAACATTGTTTAAATAAATTATTTAAATAAATTATTTATTTAAACATTGTTTAAATAAAGAGTTTCCAAGAAAAGCCCTCTAAGAGTATAAATTACTTGAATGTACCATGGATGTCTTGGAAACTATGGAAATTTACAAATTAATTATAATTTTGTGGCAATTGAGGTGCTCCTTTGACTGGAATTCTGCTATTTGTAGGAAATTAAGCATATTTTATGTAAGAATTAAATAGTACATGGGTTGAGATTATACTGTGTTTCTTTTGAGTTATGATAGTGAGCTTCTGATTGCTTATTTGGTGCAGAGATCTTCAAATCTATTAAAGTGGTCAGAGTTGATTAGGCTAATTCAATATCTAATATTTATAAACTGTCAATAGACTCTTAGGGAACCTGAAAAAACATTATAGTATCCATACATAATTATTTAGCATTCATATAGTAAGCTGCAAAATTATACAAAAAAGTACTTTGGAAATGTGATTTCTTCTTTCATTTTAAAGATCAAACATATTCATTTTCGTAATGTTTCCTATGTTATAATTACATTATGTAGTCAAATCTTTCTCTATATGAATCTAGTTGTGAGAAATATAGAGCTTTGTAGCTTTCCTCATGGGTATTCCTAAAAGTCTTTCCCATTAGACAGAACTACAAAATATCATGTGGCTGTAATTTTTATAAACAAATCACTTTGAAGATACAGCACAATTTTACTTGGCATATAAGCAATACAGTACATGCTGGGCTTTTCAGCAAAGCATTGGCACCTTGTTGGTAGCCATGTGCAAAGGCAGAATCATAGCTTGTATACTCTTACAAAGCCAAGGGAAATAAAAAGGCAGACATAGTGTAAATGGCAAAATGTTTTGACAAATCTATCTAGGTGACCTTAATATAATTTATGTCCTCCTACTAGTTAGCATGCTAGCCACACTATCTCTGAGTACACAATGAATATAAACAATTTGACTAGGAGTGATGATGTTATCTAGCTTGGGTAATCAAATGTCTGGAAGAAAACAGGCAAACTCAGAAAGCATCAAAGTCCCCTCATTTCAACCCTGAGCTATAAATATTCTCCTTTATTGATAAACAATTAATCAGATTCCTGATTATTGTTTCTCCTTGTTGCCACTCAGGATCAATTCAGCTTGTTGGGCCTTATAAGGGTGCATGCCATCAGCATGTGTCATAATAAATTTTTACTATTTTTATTATTTGTGTTCTGGAACAATTACTTGTTGAAAAAAACTGACATTTCAATTCAAACTATGTTTTTACATTTTTTGAATAATGCTTTGTATTTCTTCAGGATTCCATGTCCTAAAATAGGGACATAGAAAAAGATTAATATTAAATTTTATTGCTATATATCTGGCTAGTCTGATAACTAATACATTTAGAGGTCTTTATTGATTGTCAGATCTGCATGAAGGCCTTACCTTCAAAGAGATAAGGTTGAATTTTGTATTCTTTCAAAGTACAATATAAATGTTTTACCACAACAGCCCTTCATCTTAGAAAAAAAAATAGTAAATAAAAAGCAGGCTTTGCAGTTGAGATGGGAAGAAATAAAAATATATGGCCAGAAATGAAAGATCACTTTCCATTTTACAAAAAAATGGAAAGAAGGACATACAACTAAGGCAGAATATCAGCAGATAGCCAGAATCTGCAAAGACGAAGTCGGGATAGCAAAGGCTCAGAATGAACAAAGACTTGCAACAAAAGTCAAAGATAATAAAAAAAGTTTCTTTCAATATATAAATAACAAAAAAAAAATCAAGGAAAGAGTCAGTCCACTAAAGAGAGAAGATAGCAAGGAAGTAACAGGCAACAGAGAGAAAGCAGAACTGCTTAACTCATTCTTTGCATCCGTCTTCACGCAAAAAGAAACTATAGCTCAACCTACCAAAAACATAACTGTAAAAGACAGACCAGAAATAAAAGTTAAAATAAGCAAAAAAATAGTAAGAGAACACCTGACTGATCTTGATGAAAACAAATCACCGGGGCCTGATGGATTATATCCCAGAGTTTTAAAGGAGCTGGCAGAGGTCATCTCAGAACCACTGCACCATATCTTTCAAAAATCCTGGAGCACCGGGGAACTACCAGAGGACTGGAAAAAAGCTGATGTGGTTCCCATCTTCAAGAAAGGAAAAAAAACAGACCCAGGAAACTATAGACCGATCAGCCTAACATCAATACTGTTGGGTATATGGATACTCCAACTGGTTTGGGTTGAATAAATATGTAAACCTAGGATTAAGTGTCATGTAGCTTTAAAGCTAGAAACTGCAATGTCATTGTGGGTGCGGTTGCAGGCAGCCATATAGGTAGGAGGGGAAACGTAATAGCCCCGGCTTCTGGATGCAACTGTCTGAGTCCGGCTTCTGGATGCAACTGTATGAGCTCCGGCTTCTGGATGCAACTGTCTGAGTCCAGTTTCTGGATCCACCTAGTTACTGTTCCTAGTCTGCTCCCTACTGTGTGCTGTGTTGGTCTATCTGCTTATCTTGGAGGCTACTGTGCCAGATACCATTTCACCTGAAGACAAGGACTGTTTGGTCTGGTGAGCTGTGGATTCAGCGTTAGTACTTGAGAGAAAGGTATCTTAAGAAGAAGATATACAAGCAGATAAGAACATTGTATTTACTGTAAATAGACTTGATAACTGGATTGATATACTGGATACTGACATATGGACTGAATGACTATTCTTAATCTCTGTATGAATTAAATACCTATTTAAACCACAAACAGTGTATTTGTCTCAAGTGTGTGTATACTCCTGGGCCCAGCCTCTCTCTCATTTGGCTGCCTGGCTTGACTGCTGCTGCACACTCTGCTAGGGGGTTTATCCCCAAACACTAACAAATACCCAGGAAGACACTGGAAAAGGTAATAAAAAAACAAATCTGCCAACATCTAGAAACAAGTAAAGTAATAACTAGCAGTCAGCACGGGTTTGTTAAAAACAGATCATGCCAAACCAATCTTATTTCATTCTTCAATACAGTGACTAAGTTAGACCAGCAAAATACTGTGGACATAATATATTTAGATTTCAGCAAGGCATTCGACAAAGTAGACCACAACCTACTTCTTAGTAAGCTAGAAAAAAGTGGAACAGAGCACCACCACTAGATGGATTCGCAACTGGCTGGCAAACCGTACTCAACGAGTAATCCTTAATGGGCCTAAGTCTACATGGAGGGAAGTAAGCAGTGGGGTGCCACAAGGTTCAGTTTTAGGCCCAGTACTCTTCAGTATCTTAATTAACGACTTAGATGAAGGAATAGAAGGGGAACTTACCAAATTTGCAGATGATACTAAGCTGGCAGGAATAGCTAACACCCAAGAAGATAGGCTCAAGATCCAGATGGATCTTGACAAACTAGAACACTGGGCCATATCTAACAAAATGAAATTCAATGTAGAGAAAAGTAAAGTCCTACATTTAGGCAAGAAAAACCAAAAGTACACATATAGACTGGGTGAAACCAGGCTCAATACCAGTAACTTTGAGAGGGATCTTGGAGTCTTAGTGGACAACCAGCTAAATATGAGGCAGCAGTGTGCAGCAGCAGCCAAAAAAGCTAATGCAATCCTAAATTGTATTAACAGAGGGATACAATCAAGATCAAGGGAAGTACTAATACCACTCTATAAAGCCTTCGTAAGACCACACCTAGAGTACTGCATCCAGTTTTGTTCTTCACATTATAAAAAAAGATGTTGAGACTCTAGAAAAAGTACAGAGAAGAGCAACCAGGATGATTAGGGAACTGGAGGCTAAAACATATAACGAACGGTTATAGGAACTGGGCTTGGCTAGTCTAGTGAAGAGAAGGACCAAGGGAGATATGATAGCAGTCTTCCAATATTTGAGGAGCTGCTTCAAAGAGGAAGGGGTCAAGCTATTTTCTAAAGCGCCTGTAGGCCAGACAAGGAATAATGGATGGAAATTGAACAAGGAGAAACTTTCTGACGGTGAGAACAATTAACCAATGGAACAGCTTGCCCTCGGAAGTTGTGGGAGTGCCATCACTTGAGACTTTCAAGAACAGATTGGACTGCCATTTGTTAGAAACGGTGTAGGGTCTCCTGCTTTGGGGGGGGGGTTGGACTAGATGACCTACAAGGTCCCTTCCAACTCTGATTATCTGTTAAATCTGTTAACATTGTTTATTAGTGGAACTTCTTTCATCAACTAAAAAAACCCAAATCTTGAATTATTATGCCAATATTTCTTGAATGGAACATTTACCTGTAACAGAAAATTGTATGCTTGGTTGTACTTTTATTTTTTTTAAGTCCATATATTAGGAGGTCCAACATTCTTATTCTAATCTAATTCTAATAAATTAACAGCCTAAGTTTCACCAAGATGAAATAGGCCTCAGTTTGAAAACTTAGATTGATCTCTTTTTTAAAAAGAGATAACTATGGATCCAGCATCATTGTGCTACCTGTGTATAAAATCCAGTGAAATTATTCAGATCCTTATTGTTTAATATTTGTCAAGCTGTAG